ACTGCTAGTTGGTGTTCATGGATGCCATCAACAGGCACATAAACAACAAGCAGTGAACAATACCCTAATCAAGGAAGTAGCAGAAGGGAAAAAAATAAAACAAAACCCCCACCAACACTGGCAGGGCATGCCACTGTATATAAACAGAGAGCAAACCCCATTCCATTCTAGCACTGAAGATCTTACCTAGCTGGGTAACGAAACTCTTGCAAGAAAACAACCAAGCTCAGAGAACCCCAGGGACTCCACAGTTCAACCCTGAGCTACGCATATTCTCTTCCAAGAGCTATTTAATCAGATTTCTCCCTGCACCACTTGCATGTGTGGATGCTCTACATAAGGGCTTGTCAGTTTGAATCATCTAGCATAGGCTAGAACACTTTGCAGAAATAAGAGGTGGAATGCTAAATAACAAATGATAATTCTCTTGACACCTTTTAAATTCCCTTTCTTATTGACTGAAGTCATGAGGTCAAGATCTATTTGGTTCCCGTAGTTGGATACAAAGGGAAAATACCACCTAGGACTTTATTATGTACATTATCCTGACCACAATATACTATACCCATTTCCTCCATTTCTTTTGAAGCCAAAGTGAATGTTGTTTTCAATGATATCTGCTGGCAATCTCTGATTATTTATTTGGTTTAAGGCCAGGATAATTCTTCTGGAAATAGCTTTAATTCTTCCTCCTCATCTACAAATTTAGTGGTTGTCCTAGGTGACATCTAAATATATTCATCTCAGAGAAAGTAATTTATTTCTTCTTACATATCTTTTATCATGTATATTTCACTTTCATTCTCCTTTATTTACCGCAATATTCATGAATAAAACTGTCTTTTATCTCTTCAACCCAGTGTCTACATTAATGAAAAGCACACACATTGGAAATTAATGGCTGGATTCACATACTGTATTAAGCCTTGGTTTGTTTTATGCTATGGCTTCTATAACCTTAACAAATTATAGCAGTATGGATTCACACAACATGCTAAACCATTAAGTCATGGTTTATAAACTATACTAGATGGGTTCACATATCACACTAAGCCACACTGAACAAAGTACATTTTACTTAGTGCAGTGTTTGAATCTAGACAGTAATAGGAAGTTCAGGTAGTCCTTACTGATTACTCGTTCAGCAACTATTCAAAGTTATGATGGTGCTTCATTTGGAAATGTGCTGACCTGCACTCAAAAACAGGTAAATGTGGCTTTGGCTGATAAAAATCATCTTGGAAAATAAAAGAGGAGGGTCTGAGGCAATTCACCTGTAAATGGGTAAGTTGTGACTGGTCTCCCCCAAAGTTGCCATTTAGTGAAAGCAGCCTCAAAAGGCTCACAAAATTCCAAGTTTGCCCACAACCCCAAAATACTTATTCCTGTAACTGGACTTGTGGAGGATATAACCAAAACTGGACAAAAAAGGCTTGACATGGGGCAGGGGAAGAAAATAGAATGGGTTCACTAAATAACAGCTGAGTTCACGCAATACACTAAACCTGCATTAACAAAAAATAGTCTATTCACCCAACATCTTATGCTGAAATCAATCAGCCATATTAGAGCCTAATGTGATGGCCAAGAAAGTGGCTGGAGATCTAC